AAACTCCTTTCAGAGAAATTAGTGTTCAATGTTTCTTTCCTAACTATATTCGTAAACAAAAGTTTTAGTATATCACGTGTGCCATTTCACTACAATAACATTACCTTGCAAAACATAGTTCGCGATAAAATGGTTCGTTTTTACTGAAGTCTGACATTAATAAATAGTTCGGATGTCACATACATTTTTTTTCACTTTTGTAGTACGTTCTCAGATGTAACAACTACGGAAAAATGGCCTGGCGTAGTGAGGTGATTGACCACAATATTGAAGACTGTCTGTGGCTGAGGTACGGCAACCGAAGTGGCTCACAACATGGCATTTTATAAAACCATTTTTACATTTTTATTTTATAATTCATTTTTAATAACCATTTTCGGTTCTGAAATCGATTTTTGTTTCTGGTATCTGTTTTCATTTAAAAAAAATGTTTAAATCCATTTTCGTTTTTTAAATCCATTTTTAAAATCTGTTTTTATTTTCGAATTTCAATGTCGTTTTTAAAACCCATTTTCGTTTTTAAAATCCGTTTTCATTTTCAAAACCCGTTTTCATTTTCAAAATCCATTTTTGATTTCAAAATCCATTTTTGTTTTTTAAATCCATTTTCGTTTTCAAAATCCATTTTCATTTTTAAAATCATTTTTTATTTTCAAAATCCATTTTTGATTTCAAAATCCATTATTGCCTTTAAAATACACTTTCATTTTTAAAATCTATTTTTTTTAAAAATCCGTTTTTGTTTTTACTAATCCGTTTTTATTTTTAAAATCTATTTTCACGTTTTTGTTGACATTTGAAGTATAGGTATATACGTATTTTTCGAGTTGAAGCAAATTTCCCATCATAATTTACATAAAAATCACTGTTGTTTCCCCGCCTATCGCATTAACTTCAACCGTTTTTACGGTAATTGTTTTTACAAACCTGATAGTTTTTTTTATTTTAACCAGTGATGTTTCCATGGTAAGACTTCTTTATGTTTATGTAAGTTCTTCTTCAGGCTATAACAATAGCCGTG